ATGAATAAAGCTACTATTAATATCAGTGTGCAGGTTTTGTGTCGTCTTAAGTTTTCGACTCCTTTGAATAAATACCAAGGAGTGCAATAATTGGATCTTATGATAAGAGTATATTTAGATTTGTAAGACCCACCAAACTGTCTTCCCAAGTGGCTGTATATTTTTATTCCCACCAGCAATGTGAGAAAAAGTTCCTGTTGCTTCACATCCTTGCCAGCATTTGGTACTGTCAGTGTTTGGAATTTTGGCCATTCTAATAAATGTGTAGTGGTGTCAAATGTTGTTTGAATTTGCATTTCCCTGGTAAGATATGATGTGGAACATCATTTCATATACGTATTTGCCATCTATATATCTTCTTTGGTGAAGTGTCTATTTAGGTATTTGGCCCATTTTAAAAACTGGATTGCTTTTGCGTGGCTTGTGGGATGTTAGTTCCCTGACCAGAGATTGAATCTACACCCTCTGCCGTGGAAGCACGGAATCTTAACCACTGGGCCACCAGGAAAATCTGGATTGTTTTCTTATTGTTGAATTATGAGTTCTTCATATACTTTGGATAAAAGTTGCTGTATCAGGGTGTGTCTTTTGCAAATATTTACCCCAGTCTGTGACTTATTTTCTGTTAATAATTTCCTTGTCATTATGTTGTGCAGGGCAGAAGTTTTTAATTTTTAAAAAATAATTTTGATTTATTTTTTATTGTGCTGAGTTTTCATTGCTGTGCAGCCATTTTCTCCAGTTGCAGCAAGCATGCGCTACTCTCCACTTGCAGGGCATGGGCCTCTCACTGAGGTGGCTGCTCTTGTGCAGAGCATGAGCTCTAGTGTGTGTGGGTTTCAGTAGTTGTGGCAGTAGCAGCAGCAGCAGTACTAGTTGAGCTCAGTAGTTTCAACTCCTGGGCTCCAGAGCACAGGCTCAGCAGTTGTGCACGGGCTCAGCTGCTCTGAGGCCTGTAGGATCTTCCCAGACCAGGGATCGAACCTGTGTCTCCTGCATTGGCAGGCAGATTCTTTATCACTGAACCACTCAGAAGTTTTTAATTTTAATGAACTCCGGCTTATCAATTATTTCTTTCATGGATCATGTCTTTGATAGTGTTTAATAAGGATTCACCATACTTGAAATGGGCTTCCCTGGTTGCTCAGACAGTAAAGAGAGACCTGGGTTTGACCCCTGGGTCAGGAAGATCCCCTGGAGAAGGGCCTGGCTACCTACCCCAGTATTTCTGCCTGGAGAATTCCAAGGACAGAGGAGCTTGGTGGGCTACAGTCCATGGGGTTGCAAAGAGTCAGAGATGACTAAGTGACTAACTCTTTCACTTTTCATACCCCAAATAGTAAGATTTATTCCTAGTTATCTTCCAGGAATTTTATATTTAGGTATAATCCATTCTGAGTTAATTCTTGTGGAAAGTGTAAGATCTGTGTCTAGAGTCTTTTTTTTTTTTCTTTCCTGAGACTGTCCAGTTGTTCCAGTACTATTTGTTGAAGAAACAGTCTTTGCTCCATTGTGTTTGCTCCTTTGTCAAAGATCAGACTATATTTATGGGGATCTATTTCTGGGTTCTCCATTCTGTTCCACTGATCTATTTGTCAGTTCTCTCCCACACCATCTTCGTTAGTATATATCTTGAAGATGGGTAGGGTCAGTCCTCCAGCTTTGTTCTTCTCCTTCAGTATTGTTAGTTATTCTGGGTCTTTTGCCTCTCCATATAAGCTTTATTTTTCTTTTTTTAATTTTTAATTGGAGGATAATTGCTTCACAGTGTATGTTGGTTTCTACCGTACAACATGAATCAGCCTTAAGTGTACATATGTCCCCTCCCTCTGGAACCTCCCTCCTACCCCCTACCCCATCCCATCGCTCTAGGTTGTCACAGAGCACTGGACTGAGATCCCTGTTTTATAGAGCAACTTCCCACTAGTTATCTGATTTACAGATGGTAATGTGTATGTTTCAATGCTACTCTCTCAATTTGTCCCACCCTCTTTTTCCCTCACTGTGTCCACAAGTCTGTTCTCTGTGTCACAGAAACTTTAGAATAAGTTTGTCAATGTCTGTAAAATAACTTTCTTTGATTTTGTTTGGTTGCATTGAATCTGTAGAACAAGTTGGGAAGAACTGACATATTGGCAACATTGATTCTTCCTGTCCATGAACATGAAATATTTCTCCATTTGTTTGTTTCTTTGAGTTTTGTAATTTTTCTCATAAGGCTCTTTCTTATATATACATGCTGTTAGATTTATACCTAAGTATTTCATTTTGGGGGTTGCTAGTGTCAGTGATAATGTTTGTTTTGTTTTTTTCTAAAATTCTGTTTTTTCATTGTTAGTATATAAGAAAGCAATTGACTTTTAGGTTAAATGTATAACTTGTAAGCTTGCTACAGTCATTTATTAGTTCTAGGATATTCTTGTTCGTTTTGTCAAGTCTTTCAGATTTTCTACATAGATAATCATGTCATCTGCAGGCAAAGACAGTTTTATGTCATCCTTCCCAATCTGAAAACTTCTATTTCCTTCTCTTACAGTATTGCATTATCAAGAACCTCTATTTCACGGTGTGGAAACAGAGTGGTGAGAGAGGACATCCTCGCCTTGGACCTGATCTTGGTGGGAGAGATTCAGATTTCTGTCCGTTAAGTATGATGTTGTTGTTGTTGTTGTCTGGTTGCTGAGACATGTCCAACTCTTTTGTGATTGCATGGACTGCAGTCCACCAGATTTCTCTGTCCATGGGATGTCCCAGGCAAGAATACTGGAGTGGGTTGTCATTTCCTTCTCCAGGAGATTTTCCTGACCCAGGGATCAAACTTACATCTCCTGTGAATTCTTTACCACTGAGCCATCAGGGAAGCCCAAGTGTAATGTTAGGTATTGGTTTTTTGGTAGGTATTCTTTATCACATTGAGAAAGTTCCATTCTGTTTCTAGTTTACTTAGACGCTCTTTTTTTTTAATCATGAAAGGGTGTGGGATTTGGTCAGATGCATGTCTTCATGAGGCCTGTAGTTTTCTTGTAACATCTTTGTCTATTTTGGTATTTAGGAAATGCTGGTCTCGTAGAACAAGTTAGGGAATATTTTCTCTGCTTCTATCCTCTGAAAAAGATTGTAGAAAATTGACATAACTCCTTACTTAAATGTTTGGTAAGAATTTACCAGTGAACCCATCTGAGCTTGGTATTTTCTGTTTTAGAAGGTAACTAATCGTCAAGTCAATTTCTTTAATAGATATCGGCCTATTCAGATTGTCTATTTTTTTCTTATTGGAGTTTTGGCAGATTGTGTATTTCAAGGAATTGGTCCATTTCATCTAGGTTAACAAATTTGTGGAGATGGAGTTTCCTTTATTATCCTTTTGATGTCTATGTGATCTGTAGTGATAGCCCCTCTTTTACTTCTAGTATTAGTAATTTTTAGTAATTTCCTTTTTTCTTAGTAGTCTGCCTAGAGTCTTGTCAACTTTATTGATCTTTTGGTTTTGTTTATTTTCCCTATTGATTTTTTATTTTTTATTTCATTCATTTCTGCTCTAATACTTATCATTCTTTTCTTCTGTTTACTTTGAATTAAATTACTCTGCTTTTTCTAGTTTCCTAAGATTGAATCTTAAGAAATTCAGTTCAGTCAAATTTCCTGATTCCTAGTGAATCTTAGATTATGGATTTTATATCTTTCTTATTTTCTAATAAACATATTCAGTGCCATGAATTTCCTTCTAAGCACTACACTACTTTTGCTCCATCTGATAATTTTGACAAGTTGTCCTTTCACTTTTATTTAATTAAAAATATTTTAAAATTTACCTTGAGATTTCTTCTTTGAGCTATATGAATTTAGAAGTATACTGTTTAATCTATATGTATTTTGGATTGTTCAGTTATCTTTCCATTACTGAAACTTCTAGTTTAATTCCATTGCAGTCTGAGAGCAGACACTGCATGATTTCTATCCTTTTAAATTTGTTTGGATGTATTTTGTGACCCAGAATGTGGTCTATCTTGGTGAATGTTCTATGTGACCATGGGAAAAAATGTGTATTCCAATTTGTTGGATTAAATAGTCTATTGATGGGACTGTTCATTGGCTGTGAGGTTACTTGGCTAAAGTTAGAGTTGTGCAGCTTATATATTAATAAACCAGGTTACTAGTTAATGTGGTTTGGTTCATCTCTAAATTTTGGCTTTTTTCTCTTCTTCTCCATGTCGCTGGGGCACATGGTGCCTTCTAGTGGGAGACCTGTCAGTATAGAGATCTGGGAAGGTGACGCCGCCTGTGTCCTGGGAGAAAGAGATCGAGAGGGCAGGTCTGAGTTCACATCCTGCCTCAGCCACTTACTAGCAACATGGCCTTTGAAAAGCACTGTGACCATTCTGGTTCTTATCCTCTCTCAGATGGTACATCCAGTGCCATAGAGAGTGGCTGATGATGCTGAAATGAGGCCATGCACGTAAAGCACGAACACGACACATGCTAGTTATTATCCTAAGGAAAGTAGAAGGGTTAGATTAGGGGGACGGACCTTGGGTTCCAGACTGATTACCAGTGTTTGGGGATTTATTTGTCTCTGGCCTGAGGCAGTCACTGAACAGAAGTACCAGGGGAGGGATCTGGGTGTGAGCTATCTATCATGGTTCATTTTATCAACTTCCGGAAGAACAGAAGTTGAAGGTGATGTCAGCTTTCTCCGCAGATGCATTCAGGCAGATTGCACAGGTCCTTTTATTTTTGTGGTGAAAGGCTGGGGAGGTGAAGAGGGAATCGGGGTAGGGGCTGTGTGACTCTCAGGTCCTTGGTGGCCCTGCACCTGCTGGCCTCTGAGCTGTCTGCGTCTGGCCGGGGAGATCATGAGGAGCTGAGATCCCTGTGCGCCGCTGACTCGAAGGAGGTCCCCACTCCGTCCCACTGCTTAGGCCTTTAAGACAGAGTATAGGGTCTCTTCCTGGGGGCCACCATGGGAAGTGGGGAGGGGAGGCGCTGCTGAGCTGGTGAGGTCAAGCTGGAGACAGTGAGGGAGGCACTGGGGGCTCCAGCGTCATCCTGGGGGAGAAGGAAACGGGAGGGGGTGAGACAGCAGAGGGGAGGGGTTCCATCTCAGGGCCACGATCCCACAGCTGATGCCCCACTGACACCAGTCCCTCTGTCCACCCACCCCACCTTCTCCAGACTTCCCTCTCATCCTTGCAGGTCCTAGCCTGAGCTGCTTATTTTATGGTCCTGCTCCAGTTCTATATGTTGTTCTAGGAAAAAAACCAATTGTTCTAGAGTCAGGTGACCAGGCAGCCAGGGTAGAGAAATGGGCAGGGGCTCCAGCAGTGAGGTCATCTCTAGGTCAGGACCAGGGTCTCAGGGAAGGGTGGGTGAGGCAGGGGAGAGAGGAGGATGCTGAGGCCACCTGTGTGGGGAGGGGGTGTGGGGAGAAGAAGGAAGCAGGACTCACCTTTATTCCCGGTGTTCTCGTAATTCTCTTCCGCGTTTTGGGAGGACTCCCTGATTGGGAACAGGAGGGCAGTGATGTGTCAGAATCTGGGCAGGAAAGAGCTACCACCTGCCTCAGGCCGCTTCTCTCAGTGGGGGCTATGTGACCTGCCTGGTCACACTCGGACATGAAGGCCGAGGTTTGGGGCTCTCGGGAGGAGGCTGCCTGGATGGGGTTGAGGGGCCATTTGCAGTGTAGCCCCGTCCCTAAGAGCTGACTGGGGTGGACTCTTGCAGAGAAGCGGCTTTATTGAGGGGCACAGGGAGGAGATGCAGGAGGGGGCTCCTGTCCTTTCTGCGGCAGCGCCTGGGTCCAAACTGGAGCATGAGAACCAGGGAGCTTCTCTCAGGTCCCCCGGGCGGTGCTCAGGCCTTGGTCCCCGAGGAGATGCCATCCGCGGAGGGGTCCCGAGAGGACACTGTCAAGAGTCAGGAAGGCGAGAAAGGAGGGAGGGGCTGTGAGAAGGAAAAGCCTGGACGTGGCAGAGAGGATGAGAAAGGAACGCGGTGGGCGGTGAGGAGGGTGAGTGTCAGGAAAGGAAGAGGAGCCGGGGCCAGAGGAGAGGGAGCCAGGCTGGGGGCCGCGAGGGAGCCGCTCTGGGGAGAGACAGGCCGGGGCAGCTGGAGGCCCCGAGTCACAGGGCAAAGGACAGACTGGACGAGGAGCAAGAAAGGGGACAGAGCGTGGAGGGGGCGGGTGTGTTCTGGAAGGACAGTGTTCACGGGGGAGACAGACCAGGGTGAACAGAGGGAAAGGCTGAGACCTGGGGATGGAAAGAGGAAAGGCGGGTGCCAGAGACAGACAAAGGGAGATGTTCTGGGAGAAAGTCAGAGAAAGTGCTGGTCCACTGCTCTGACTTTCTAAGGATCGGGAGCCTCAGGAAGTGCAGACCCTGGCCTGTGGGGACTTGGGAGGATGTGGATGGAGGTCCAGGAGGGGAGGCCCGTGAAAGGCTCCCTGGTGCTGCTCTCAGGAGGAAACTTCTTGCTCATAAAATAGCCCTGTCCCACCGCACCCCCCATACTGGAGGACAAGTGCTCACCTGGCTGGGGTCCTGGCTTCAGTCTGCGCACCTGTAGGAGGACCAACAGCGCGTCACTGAGCCGTCCACGGAGGCCTGTCTCCTCCCCGCCTCTCTGCCTGGCCCTACTCTGAGTCCATCCTTGCAGAGACCGGAGCAGCTGAAGCCTCCCGGGGAAGGGCCTGGGACCAGAGCTGACACACCGCCCCCCGCCTGGACGCACCCCGAGGCTGCCCGCACCTGTGCTGCCTCGTCCCCCACACCAGTCAGGAGAGCAGCTCCTCCCGCACCCAGAGCCCTGTCATTCTCTGAACACGGCGGGCTTGACCTCCCCCAACTCAGGCTACTGCAGGCCCACTCAGCCACACCCTGGGTCATTTTCTTTCCTCTTTTTTTGAATCACTGGGACTGAGAACTCTGACATCGCACACACTAGGGTTTTTATGCTCAGCTGTCTTTCCTTCCGGCTCCCTTCGGTCATCATCCCTCTGTACCTGTGTGTGACCTCACTGCACTCTTGTCCTGACGATCCGCTCTCTCTCAGGTTACCCAGGCCCCCACCGAGCCCCCTCCTCTCCACCTGCGCCCTCTCACGGGCTCCCTGACCCCCTGGGTCCCCCTGTGTTTCTGCCACACCTGCTGACATGTCTCTAATCGTGGCTGTGCCCTGAGGCAGGGGATACTGTATGTTGCCCTGTATCCACTCACTTCTCCTTGTTCAGTTACAGAACCTTGATTTTATCTGCAGTGGCTTAGGTACCCCCCGCAACAGACAGATGTAGGATGTATAACTAAATCTAACCCATAAGGGACTTTCCAAGTAGTCCAATGGTTAAAAATCTGCCTTCCAATGCAAGGGACACAGGTTCAATCCCTGGGTGGTGGGGATGGGCTGGGGTGGGGGCGCAGGTAACTAAATTCCACAAGCCGCATGCAGCAGCTAAGCCTCAGTGCCACAAGTAGAAAGCCTGCAGACCACAGTGAAGAACCTTCTCCCCCCACCCTCCCAAAAAATGACAGCAACCATCATTTAAGTAAAAAATTTTTTAAATCTCACCAATAAGACATAAGGGGAAGTTGTGGGTAGGACTTCACAAAGGCTCTTTAAAAGGAGGACAGACAGTTGGGGAATAGTCTTTTTGTTCTTTCATCCTGATTGGATTGAGAAATAATGGCTGGAATTCTAGCAGCCATAATGAACCATGAGGTGGCCTTCGGGTGAGAAGCCAAAATGCAGGACAGTGAACAGAAAGGTAGGAGCCTCGGTGCTTATGGATGGCAGCTTCTGCTCTCTGGCTCCACATTCTTTTATATGAGGGGGAAAAGTAAACTCTGTGTTATTTATCTTAACCTTTCCTTCTGGATTTTGGTGCTAACAGTGGTACACAGATTCTAACCAGTAATTCCTAAATGCTTCTAAACCTGCATGCTTGAATACTGCTGTGGGAAGACATAACTATGTGCAATGATGTTCTTACCCATTTGTGGTTTCTCATCCGAGTTGATCCTCAAATACCGTTTTGCATTTCCACAGTGACTATGTCACATTTTCTCTTCATCTCTGACCCTCATCCTCACTCTCAGGAGACAACCAGTCTGGTTTTCACTCTGCAGAATTAATAAAACAATTTGTATGTATTTGAATTTATAAATATTTTTGTTATGGCTTTGGATATTTTGTCATACTTAGGCCAGTCATCTTCAACCCATGGTTGTAAAATAAGTTTCACCTGCTTTCTACTAGCACTAGGGTTATTTTTTCCTCATTTATATCTTCAGTTGTGGTGCAAATTATGAGGCATGGAGCTGATATTATTCTCTCTCAGCTGTGACTCCATTATTCCAGAGCTACTCATTCTTCCCCCTTGATTAGAAATGCTTCCTTTTAACCTACTAAATTCCCGCATATAGTTGGATCTGTTTTTATCCTGCTTGTATCTGATTTTTCACTTTTATTCCATTTGTTTACCTATCATAATCCAGAATTACGTAATTTTAATTGTCATAGCTTAATTGTATTTGCTCGTGCTCATATAGTGCTTACTCTGCTGCAGGATCTATTCTAAATGCCTCTTGTTTGTCATGACAACACCAGGGAAGTACTGTTTTCATTCCCATTTTACCGATGGGTAAGTTCAGGCTCACAGCAGTAGTATTAGTGTGCCAGAGTTTACCAGGCCAGAGTGTGAAGCAGGATTTGGCTGCAGGTATGCACAATTCTGCGCTTTTCAAGCTCTGAGCTTTTCAATCTGACAGGGCTCATTGCTCACTACAAATTTTAAAAATTATTTATGTATTTATTTTGCTGCGCCACGTCTTGCTGTGTCATGCGTGATCTTCCTTGTGATGTACTGACTGTGTAGCAGTGCATGGGCTTCACTAATTTTGGCGTGCAGGCTTAGTTGCTCTGCGGCATATGGGATCTTACTTCTCCCACCAGGGATCAAACCTGCATCCCCAACATGGCAAGGCAGAGTCTTAACCACTGGACCACTAGGGAAGTTCCCAAGTTGCAAATTTTTTAAAAAATATTTCAAATCAGTTTTGGAGTTTGTTGTGGCATAAATAGTTAATGCCTCTTGCCCTGCGGTCTCTTTCAGCTGTAAATGCATACATCCAAATTTCTGATGGGCATCTCTACTCAGATGCCACACAAACATAAACCATCCCAAACTCAAGAATCATTCTTCTCTCCCAATCATGGTCCTTGACCTCTGTTCCTCATTTACTTGGTGGCCTCACCATGGCCTCATTTGCCCAAGTTGGAGACATGAGACTTATTCCCACGCCTTCACCCTCGCACCAGTGCAATCACCAAGTCATACTGGTTTTCTCTCAAACTTTTCCAGGATCTGGCCTCTCCCTCCATGCATACAAACACGGTGGGTCCCAAACTTGATAACACACGAATGCCACCTGAGGAGGTCACTAAAAGCGCAGATTCCCAAGCCCAGACCTCAGGTCCAGCAGGGACTTGCATTTTAACTGAGCACCCCTGGTCATTCTGGTGCAGTAGGTTCTGAGAAACACCAAGCTGGGAATCTTGGGGAGAGGCTAGCAGTCCTGGACCACTTACCTTTGCTTCTCTTCCACCCAAGGTACACAGTCAGTCCCACGATCGGGATCTTGAGCAGCACAACGCTGGCCAGTGCCAACCCAACTGTAGCTTCCATGGTCAGGGACCACAACTTGGAACTCCTTTTGCCCTCTGAGCCCCCGAGGCCAGCTGTGGTGGTGGTGGTGATAGGACCCCAGGTGGTTGTTTTGGTGTCTGAAAAATATGCAAGTTCTTCACTAAAGGGCTGGAGGTATCTGGGTGAAGCTGTCAAATCTTATTCCCTAGTTTGGGGAAAGTAGGGGTGGGGAGCAGGTCTCTGAAGCTCTCCCACAGGGAGCGGAGTAACAAGAGGTAACGCTGGAAGCTTTGAATCCTCTTCACTTCTTTAAAATCTTGACTCTGACTGATCAGTGCTATGACCTCAGAACCTCATTTTACCACCTACCCATAGGTGAACTAAATCACAGGATAAAAAATTATTTATTGTGGTAAAAGACACATAACATGAAAATTACTATTTTAATCATATTTAACTGTATAGTTCAGTGGCATTAAGTACATTCACATTATTGTACAAGTCTCACCACTATCCATCTCCTGAATTTTTCACCTTCATAAACTGAAGCTCTGTCCCCCTTTTCCCCTTCCCCCCAGCCCCTGGCCCCCAGCAGTCTGCTTTCTGACTCTGTGAATATGACTGTTCTAGGGACCTCCTGTAAGTGGACTCAAACAGTATGTGTCTGTGCCTAACGTATACTGGAATGCACTTCTAAGGTTAACTTAATTTCTAAGTCCTATAAATAGATTGTACCTCTTTTAATAGATAATTAAAAAATTACTTAATACCCCACTAAAGGGAAGAAAATCCCAAATTCCAATGAAGTCTTCTGGTTAGTGTGGACCAAATTCATGTCCACTCTTATTAGAAATTAATAATAAAAGTGTAAATACCATCCCTCAACTAAGATTTTTAAAATTAAAAATTACTTAACTTTACTAACATATCAAAGTGATAGGAATGCACGTTAAAAACCCTACAAAACTAAAACTTCTATAAACTTTCATTATTTTAAATGTGAAGATGTTTTAAATGAATGAAAGATTAGCATCCGAGAAACGAGTAACAAAAACAGTGAGGAGGCAGCTCTAAGGACACTCACAGTTTGAAAGTAATGAAAACCTAGACTGGACACATATTTAAGGAAATAGAACAGCAGAAGGAATAAACAATGCAGGAGGCAGAGAAAAACAAACCAGAAAGCAGAGAAGACTCTTACAAACCTAACAGTGTCAAAAGAGTATTGAAATCATACATGCATTCAAAAAATCATTGAGAAATCTACAAAGCTCTGTGAAATGTCTGATTTTCTGAGACAAACAAAAGTTGAAAAGAATTAAAAAATAGTAAACTTTAATGGGCAGACAAAGAAGAAATTGAGGCTAGTTTTAAAGAACTACCTTTTGTAGAGATTTTAAGCTCAGAAGGTTTAATGGTTAAATTCTGGTGAAAATTCAAGGAGTGGATAATTCCCAGACAGAAGGTTCTGGAACATAGAAATACAGAAAATGATGGAATTCTAATTCTAAAACTTCCAGATGTACAGGCTGGGCTTTGAGGAGGCAGATCATGGAGAAAGCAAGGGAGTTCCAGAAAAACAGCTTCTTCAGGTTCACTGACTACACTAAAGCCTTTGACTGTGTGGATCACAGCTAACTGTGGAAAATTCTTAAAGAGATGGGAATTCCATACCACTTCACCTGTCTCTCAGAAACCTGTGTGCAGGTCAAGAAGCAACAGTTAGAACCTGACATGGAATAAATTGACTGGTTCAAAATTGGAAAGGAGCATGACCAGGCTGTGTATTGTTACCGTCCTTATTTAACTCATATGCAGAGTACATCATATGAAATGCCGGGCTGGATGAAGCACAAGCTGGAATCAAGATTGCTGGGAGAAATATAAAAAACCTCAGACATGCAGATGATATCACTCTAATGGCATTAAGTGCAGAGGAATTAAAGAGCCTCTTAATGAGGACCAACGAAAGACAAGAATGAAAAAGCTGGCTTGAAGCTCAGTATTAAAAAATCTAAGATCATGGCATCTGGTCCCATCACTTCACGGCAAACAAAAGGAGAAAAAATGAAAGCAGTGACAGATTTTATTTTCTTAGGCTCCGAAATCACTGTGGATGGTGACTGCAGCCATGAAATGAAATTTCCTTCCTTGCTCCTTGGAAGGATGGCTATGACAAACTTAGCATATTAAAAAGCAGAGATGTCACTTTGCTGACAAAGGTCCCCATGGTCAAAGCTATGATTTTTCCAGTAGTCATGTACAGATGTGAGAGCTAGATCATAAAGTAGGCTGAGAGGTGAACAATTGACATTTTTGAACTGTGGTGTTGGAGAAGACTCTTGAGAGTCCCTTGGACAGCAAGGAGATCAAACCAGTCAATCCCAAGGGAAATCAACCCTGACTATTCATTGGAAGGACTGATGTTGAAGCTGAAGCTCCAATACTTTGGCCCCTGATGCAAAGAAATGACTCATTGGAAAAAACCCTGATGCTGGGAAAGATTGAAGGCAGAAGGATTTAGGGATGGCAGAGGATAAAATGGCTAGACAGCATGAGTGACTCAATGGACATGAATCTGAGCAAACTATGGGAGATAGTGGAAGACGGGGGAATCTGACTTGCTACAGTCCACGAGGTTGAAAAGAGTCAGACTCGACTTAGTTACTGGACAGCAACAAAAGCATAAACCTTATGCTAATCTCCAGTCATAATCTGGACTGCTTCATACCCTCCTTCAGGGATATTCAGTTCAGCTCAGTTGCTCAGTCGTGTCCGACTCTTTGTGACCCCACGGACCGCAGCACGCCAGGCTTCCCTGTCCATCACCAACTCCCAGAGCTTACTCAGATTCATATCCATTGAGATGGTGACATTGTCCAACCATCTCATCCTCTGTCGTCCCCTTCTCCTCCTGCTGTCAATCTTTCCCAGCAGGGATATTAGGGGTTCACATTTATGACCCTGTAGGGGGGTTTGTTGTGTGAATTGCTTTCCTCCTGGTTGTCCCCATTGCTGGCTTAAACTCCTGTGATGTCCTGAGTGAGTTACATACACCTGCTTCCAGCTTCCCCAATTTTGTTTTTGTCCTCCTAGATCACAAATTTTTTGTTGTTGCTGGTTTTTGTCTTAAAAACTCCCTTCCCTGTCATTCATTAGATTTTGAGAGGGAGTGGAGATAAACATGTGCATGTAACTCTCCATCTTGGCCAAGCCTTATGCTTTACTTTTACAACTTAAATTATAAAAAGTAAACATTCAAAAGATAATGTTGCACACTAATAATAAAAACAAAGAATGGAGAGGAAGTTAGGGAATTAGAAAAGGAAGAAGAGGGATCTAAGGAGGTAAAAAACCTCTCAGAAAAGATCATTTAAGGAAATATGGAGGAGACACAGGAAATATTAATCCGAGTCTGTCTCGGTGAATTCAGATTCTGAGTCACTATCTGTTTGCTTTGAAATCAGCATAGTGGTCAAGAAGCGGCAGTCATTTTCCAAGGGAGGAGTCAGAGAGCGTGCTCTTCCCAGCTGAGAGCCATCATCCCTCGTGGATACTGTTTAGAATTGCCAGCACAAGTGATTATAAAAGCAAACTGTATTAGTCATTCACTAGTTTTCAAAAATGTTACAGACAACAACCCCCTTACTGCCTGTGACTGTCAGAGAGGACCCCACCCCCGTTGCTCTGGAGACAAATAAATTGAGGTTAAACAAATTGAGGTTCAAGTTCCCATGGCCCATTGATTGACAGAGGGAGATCTGTTAATGCAAAATGTCCATTGTTAGGTTAAAAATAGTCAAGATAACGTGATGACAGGTCAGTAGGTGAGGCTGAGAGGCTCATGGTTTAGAGAAGAGGTTCTGGGGTTAAACTGGGGTCAGAGCCCACCTGCACCAGAAATCACTTCAGGCAGGTTTTGCTGTGCGAGGAAGGCAACAGGACCAACTGTTACCTAGGGTTGTGGGGAAGGTCAGCTGGGGCGATGCTGCCAAGGTATCCCGCCAGGATGCAGGTCACAGTCAGGGGAGCTGCCAGGACTGCTGCCTCGTCATGACCAGGACAGAGGGGAAGGTCAGGGTGGACACGGGGACAGGGTGACTGGAACCACATGGGGGGGTGGGGACAGAGGGAAGGAGGTAAAGGGGATGGAAGGAGGGAGGAGATGGAAAGCGAGGAAAGAGATGACATGAGGGAAGGATGGTTGAACTGATGTTTTGGGGGGCAGAGCAGAGAAGGAAGGGGAGATGGGAAATCAGGTGATGGGGACATGGGGCCCCTCGGCACCTGCTGTGTGTGCGGGCTGAGCTCATGGCTGGGGGGACAGACATGGGGTAGCTGGGGCTCTGCACAGGACTCTGGGCAAAGGGGAGGAACTGCACCCCGAGATGTCAAGTCACCTGGAGGACGTGGGGTGAGGGCAGGGGCCCGGTGGAGCCCAGCTTGGAGCAGGAAGCGAGGACAGCTGGGAGCACAGAGGGTGCAGGGGCCTGGGGATGGGGGAGGGGCTGGACCTGGAGGGCAGAGAGGGGGATGGGCAAGGGAGGTGGTCCTGTGTTGGGGAAGATAAAGGTGAAAAGGGTAAAGTTGGTGGAGGCCTGGGGAGGAGTAGGAGGTGGGCAGGGAGAGAAGTTTGAGAGAGGGGAGTCAGGAAGAGGGTGCCTGAGCCAGGCCTGGGGCCCAAGGCATCAGTGGCCTCCAAGAGCCTCAGGCAGGACAGCTGGACTCACCGGGGGTGACGGTGAGTTTGGTCCCCTCGATGGACTGCCACTGTTGCTTGCCGTATCTCATTGTGTCTAATGCCACGTGGCAGAAGTACACAGACTGGTCCTCCCTCCGCAAGTGTGAGATCCAGAGGGAGCCGGTCTTCTGACCCTTATTCCAATTCAGGAAGAGCCAGTTCTTGAAATTCTTATGGATGAATGGAGGGGTCATGTTGTAGATGAATTCCCCATGGAAGTGTTTCCATCTCCAGGATATTCTCACGTTGGGATCCTTGGCTAATGCCCAGGAGTGAAAGAAGGAGAAGGGGATGTGAATGGAGCCGCCCTCGGGGGCTGAGAGTTCTCTTGGTTGCTTCATCTCAAAGAGAGGCTCTGGATTTGTCTGTGCCCAGTGACCTAGAGGAGGGAGGAAGAGACTCTGAAGCCACCAGGAGAGACACAGAGGGTGACCCCAGACCGTCAGGCACCCTCACCCGCAGCGGGTGTGTGACAGGGGGTAGGACTGGCCCTCTGGCCTGGGTGATCCCCTCTCCAGGCTTGGGGCAGGCAGGAGGGTGAGGGGTTGGGAGACCCAGCACTGTGGGACCCTTCTGTTTGTTGGGGGTGGGAGGCCTGGTCAGCTACCCCAGGGGACCCTTCTACACACACCAGGCCACAGCCCCTCCCTGGGGTCCCTGGCAGAGCAGGACACGCCCAGCCACTCACCAGCCTGCAGAGACGCCAGGAGCAGCAGGGGCAGCCCCATGGCCTTGCCCCCCTCCCGGGTGAGAGGACAGGCAGAGCCCTCAAGGCCAGACGGGAGGCCTGTGGGGGCCCTGGGGGAGACTCAGCACCAGGAGTGAGGACCAGGCTCCTCCAGAGGACGGAGGAGGGTGGGGGCCTTCCCCAAACCCGCCCACCCCGACAGTGACGGGCACTTCCTTCATCAACCTGGCTGCTTCTTTTCCTTTATTGCAAAAGGGCCTCCCTGTGGTCAGTGCAGAGGGAGCCATGGTCTGGGGCTCCCCGCCCCCGTCTTCACGCTGGGGGCTGGTCCTGACCTGCGCCCGCTGGGCCTCCCCCCTCAGCTCCTGTCTCCCGCCTCACATCTCCCTGGCTAGTCGTCTCTGTGTCTCTCCTCCCAGGGGAAGGGGCGGCAGCAGGACCAGCTCAGGCTCCTTCAGGGAGAGGTGGGCCCGGGTCCCCGCTGCAGCCCCTCAGGGAGGAGCAGGGGGGAGCCCCTGGCGGTCACGCTCAGCCCCCCTCAGACACGGGGCCACCAGCCTGCTCTGGGCCCCTCTCCCTCCAGGCAGGGGCTCCCCTAGTGTCTCCCCCTCCCAGTCTTCAGGCAGAACCAAGGCCCATGTCCAGGACTCTGAGCGGTGGGACCAGCCCTTGAGCTCCAGTCCTGCTGAGCCCACAGAGCCTTCTGCTCCCTCTGGAAGCTTCCTCCTGGTTGCACCTCAGACTCTCTGGGCCTCACCCTCTGAGTGCAGAGCTCTGGGAGGTGACCCCCAGGAGGCTGCAGTTAATAACACTCCTCAGGGGGTTCCATCTGCAGCTGTGAGCCCCTGGCTCATGCAGGGCCTTCCCTGGACAGAGAGGAGGAAGGTCAGAGCAGTCATGGGTCATCCTGGTGACAGTCCCTGGGATCATCTCTGAGGGAGACACTGCCAGCTGTGACTGGTGCTGGGTGGGGTGAGACACGGGGGGCTGGTCATCTTGGTGACCCCCAGGGCTGGCTGAGAATGAGGCTGTTTGAGCCTCTGCAGGCTGAGTCAGCATTGACTTACTGAATGGACCACGGGGGTGGAAGGACATGATTTCATCACAGGAAGCGGCCTCAGTTCTAGAGGTGGGAGTGAGCAGAACGACTTCTTTTCTCCCGTTTAGTTTTTCGTCCAACCCTAATAGTTTTCTTCCATGCTTCTCCCATGGCCAGCCAAGTGGCCCCTGCCCTCCATATCTGCTTTTCTTACCCCTCCTCCCAGGCCTGAGAGGAAAGTTTCTACATTTTCATGGAACCCTCTTATCTGAGTCAGGCCCTACCTACATCTATTTTCTCTTTTTCAGCTTTACAGCATTCTGTGGTGGATGTATCCTTGTCTCCATCTCACCCAGGGGAAACTGAGGCACAAAATCATATCACAAGAGTCCTTTGGGCTGTGAAAGGTGCTTGGGCCGAATTCTAACAGTTGGAAATGTGTGCAGAGGAGGACAGGGACCTGCTGGCTTCTTGGCAGTGCCTTCAGAGAGTACCTGTGGGGGGTGAGCCCCGGGTTCCATTTTGGCCTCACCCCACTGGCTTGGGACTTGGAATGCCTCTTGCTTGCCTGGCTTTCAGAGGAGGCAGCTGGATCCTACCAGGGGGCCCCACGGCCTACTCTGTTTGACAGCACAGAACTTTTACAAAAGAGGCTCTGGGTAACTTTGCAGAGCACTGACTGTCAGGTGCCCTTAGGCCCTGTTGCTTCCACATAAAGTCTCCCTGGATGCAAGTTGAACATCTTACATCATGTTCGGGCTCTTAGACCCCAGTTGGGCCCCCATGAATTGAGGGTTTGTGATGTGTGGTTTCTGCTCGGTGATGGCGTGCAGTCATCCTCCTTCCCCCTAACAGGAAATCCAGGGCCTGGGATTCTGCCTGGCACTGTGGCTCCACTCCCAGAGGAGGAGGAGGAGAAGGGCCTTGTGGGAGGGAAGGGCCTGGAGCTGTGTGATTTAAACATGAGCAGGACCTAAATGCAGCTCTTTAGCCCAGCGGGTGGCCCTGAGGGAGAGGCCAGAAGCTGTGTGATCCGCAGCAGGGACGGGTGAGGGCTATGAGCCGTGCACCACAGCGCGAGACCCACTGCCTCAGGTCTTCCTCACTCTCCCAAGCTCCCATCCTCCTTTCCCCATTGACCACGTCCATCACTGCCCCACCCCTTCCCCCTCCATGGCACCTCCTGTTTCCCCCCCAAGGTTAGGGAGCAGGCAAAGGCATCTCTTCTCACTACCTCCATTCATTGTGCTGGAAGGTTCTAGTTCATGCAATAAAGTAAGGAACAAAGTTGTTCTAACCGTATTTTTTAAATATCTAAAAAAATTTTTTCCTCTATTTTTCTGTTTGGCATACATTCATCACAAGGTCAATTTTGCTAACTGTATTTTATTTTTTGTGTTTTTGATGCTCTCACAGCTGGGGCCTAATGGACCAGGGAGTTAATGCTAATTCTTAGAGATGCCATAGAGATTCCTAGCAGCGTGCCTTTCATTATACAAACTAACCACCCCAGAGCTCATACTCTAAACCACCGCCCTTCTCTAACTCTCATACACCAACCTAGTATTTCTCCTGCCTTAAATCAATTCATGGCCAGGTACCAGGCACTATCTATAGCCCAAAGTCAACCAGAATCATTCCAACTACCTAATCTCAAACTGTCTACCTCTCCTGCATTGCTTTTCCCACAGAAAGCATAAGAAAGGCTGTGTTTTCTTTATCTTCATTCTTGTTTCTGCTTCTTGAATGACTCTGGTGCTTCCCCACATATAATGGGTGGTGTACCTTATAGGTAATACCCTCTTTGGGAAATGTAAGTAATGAAAATCTTCTTTCAGTGGCATTAACCTCTGTGAATCATCACTCAGTCCTCTCTGTAAATTAAAATCCTGCAGGTACAATAATTGAGACAAACAGATTGGAAAGGAAGAAGTAAAAAGTGTCTTTATTCACAGATGACTTGGTTGTTTATGTAGAAGACAGTGGGATCCACAAAAAAGTTACTAGAACCATTAGTGAATTAAGCAAGGTTGCAGAATACAAGATCAATACAAAAGAATCAAATGTATTTGTATATACTAACAACAAAGAATTAGAAACTGAAATAAGAACAGTGCTATAATATTATCAGTGATATAAAATATGTAGGAATAAATATGACAGAAAATGTGCAAGATCTGAACACTGAAAACTATCAAATATTGCTGAAAAAGAAGACGAACAGGCGGATACTTCTTACATGAGAAGACTCAGTACTAGTAAGATGTTAGCTCTCCTCCCAATAATAAGTAGATTTAACCCAATTTCAATAAAAATCCCGGTAAGTTTTTTTTTTTTTTTTTTTTTAGAAATTGACAAGTCATTTCTAAAATTCCTATGGAAATTCAAAGTACCTAAAAAAGCTACAAAAAGCTCTGCAATTGAAAAATGTTGGCGGATTTACCCTGACTTTCGGACTTCTTATAAAGCTATTGTAATCAAGACATTTTCACATCAATGTGAAAGGAAAGAAAGAGGCCAGCAATTTATAGTCAGTTAATTTTCAACAAAGATGAAAAGGCAATTCAGTGAAGAAAAGGTAGTCTTTTAAACAAATGGTACTGGAACAATTTGACTTTTATTAATATATTTTAAAAATCCTTTAATCCATACCTTGCACTATATAAAAAAATGAACTCAGTGAATTGTAGGCCTAAATAAGTCCTAAAATTATATAACTAAAGGAAAAACATAGGAGAAAAGCTTTGTGATCTTGGATTAGGCAAAGATTTCTTAGCTTCAACACCAAAAGCATGAAACATAAAAGAAGATATTTAAAAATTGTAGTTCATAAAAATGAACAACTTCTGTTCTTCAAAAGATACTATCAAGGAAATGAAGGACAAGATACAGACAAGAAATACTTGCAGGTCATGTAAATGACAATGGACTTGTATACAGAATGTACAATGAACTCTCAAAATTTAACAGGAAAACAAAATTCCAATTAAAAACATGAGCTAAGGATGTGAATAGATACTTCATTAAAGAATATATGTAGGTAACATATAAACACATGAGAGGATGTATAACATCACTTGTCACTAGGGAAGTGCAAGTGAAAACCACAGTGAGATACCAACATACATCTATTAAATGGCTAACATTAATAGACCAACCATACTAACTGTTGGCAAGGACATGGAGCAACCAGACCATTCATACACAACTGGTGGGAATGTGAAATGGTATGACTACTTTGGCCATGCCTTTAAAAGTTGAAGATACATCTACCGTATGACCTAGTCATACCCCTCACAGGTATCACAGTGTTGGCCAGCAGTATCAACCTGGTGGGAAATGCCAATTCTCAGGCCCCAGCCTGACCTGCTGAAGTTTGAGAACCACTGCCCTGGGGCAAGGACGCTGGAAATTGCCTTGTGTGTTACCTTCACTTTTCACAGCAATCCTGTGAGATGAAGGAATTTGATTCCCATCTGACAGAGGAACAGACTAAGGCTCAGAGGGGTCACCTCACAGGCTCTCATTCCCTCCAGGATAGGACTTGGACCACACTCATGTCCGTCTGCCTTGTGAACCTGGCTCTTATCCAGATTGCCCGTCCCCCACCAAGCACCCCCAGTTAGCCTCCCTCACTTCCCCTTCCTCCCACAGCCCAGACTAGAGGAGATCATTCATTGTACTCCATTCAGCTGGCCACTTCTCAGAGTGTGGGGAAACAAAGGCAGGAGGGACGTGAGTGTGGTCCGGGCCCGGGCGAGGCAGGACACACGAGGCACAGAAAGATGACGAGGGGCTCTCAGAAGGACAGGGACAGAGGAGAGAGGAGGGGCAAGGTCTTGGTCCCTACTCTCTCCCATGGACAGTCCACGAGCCTCTGCTGACATCAGCACCCTTGATTTCCTCTTGTTTTCCCTGGAGAAGGGGCCCAGAGAAGGCTTGTCGTGCCCTGGTTGGGTGCAGGCGTGCAGTGAGCCCTCCAGGACCTAGAGCCCAGCTGG